TATTTTTAAATACATTTTATTGATTTTTTTTTTTTTTTTTTACAGAGAGGAAGGGAGAGAGCCAGAGAGCCAGAGACGTCGATGAGAGAGAAACATCGACCAGCTGCCTCTTGCACACCCCACACTGGGGATGTGCCCGCACCCAACGTACATGCCCTCGACCGGAATCGAACCCGGGACCTTTCAGCCCGCAGACGGACGCTCTACCACTGAGCCAAACGGGTTTCGGCTATGTTTTATTTAAAAAATATATATTTTACTGATTTCAGAGAGGAGGGGAGAGGGAGGGAGAGAAACACCAATGATGAGAGAGAGCCATGGATCGGCTGCCTCCTGCACGCCCCACATGGAGGATCGAGCCCTGAACCCGAGGCATGTGCCCCGACGGGGAAAGGAACCGAGACCTCCTGGTTCCCAGCCACTGATCCCACGGGCCGGGCCAGACCGGCTTTTATGTCATTGGTTTAAATGGCAAGCCACCTTCTGCCGCCTCCACTGTCTTCCCGACACATGTCTGACGCTTCTGTGGTTTCTGTCCCTCTCCTCTGTGACAGCGAAGAGAGGCTTCCCAGAAAGTTTTTTCTTAAAGATAGGGAGAAAGTCACCCCTATCCGATTTCAGCCAGACGTGTATGACACTAGAGGCCCAGCCTGGGACTGAATCACACAAGGAGGCACCCGGAGGGGCTGGGACCGCGCCTGACCCACAACACAGCATCCCCCGCCCCGCCTGTGTCCTCTCCGGGAGTGCCCGCCCCCTCCCCCGTCTCCGCTCCGCTCTGGGCCTCACCTGCGCATGCAAACCTCCTCCTATCCGGGACATTACCCCGTTGTGGCATCCGGCCTAATTTGCATATTACCTCTTTATGTAGATAGACTAGAGGCTCACTGCATGATATTCCAGCAAGAATAGGCCCCTGGCTTCCCTGCTCCCCGGCCACCCAGGAGCGGGCAAGTCCTTGCTTTTGCCTGGAGCACCGCTCCGGTAGCTCCCTCCGCAGCCCGCTTCCCCTCATAGCAGGCTTCACAGGCTCTGCACCTGCATATGCAAATTAACCTCCATCTCTGTTGGGTTAATTTGCATACTCACTAATTGGCTATGGGCATAGCAAGTGATGGTTAATTTGCATGTTTCTCTTTTCTTAGGTGTTATTCTCAGTCTCTCTCCACTCTATAGCATGGTCCTTAAGAATTGCCACCCGTAACCAAAGGCTCCCAGGAGATACTAGTATTTTACAAGCCGGGGTCGGGGACTCAATGAAACAGGTTTGAAATCATTGGTCTGTTGATTAACCTGTGAAACCCATATTGATAAGGTGATTCTCTTAGTGGCCGTTTAAAGACGTGGGGTGTGGGGATGCCTGCTCTGTAAAATGTGAAGGGGTAAACTTATTTCTGCTCTTTTGTGCCTTTATGCGTATCGTGTTGGTAAAGTAGGATTTTGGGTTAGGCAGTTTTTATCATAAAGCAGAAACAGGGAAGTTTTCATTAAAATAAGATATCCTAGGAAGCCTTGTATAAGGCCCAGAACCTAAGTCTCAACTGCAACTCAGGAATCACGGCCGCCGGCCACCAAGGCCCCCCAGGACGTGGGACCGTGTCAGCAGCAGTGAGAGTGTGTTTGCTTCCTGAGCGCCGCCCGTGCATGAGCATAGAGGCCCCCCCCCCCCCCCCCCAGGACGGAGCCCCATTGGGATGCCTGGCGGCTCCGGGGACGGGGACACGGCTGTGTCCGTGTGGCACTGGGCTGTGACTCCTCTCCGGGGGAGCTGTCCAGCTGGTGTACAGCCCGCCAGCCGACCCTGCCCGTCTGGGTTACCGTGTGCTGAGCACCGACTGCCCGCAGCTTTCGGACGGGCCGGGGGCCCGGGCAGCCCCCTCTGTCTACTCTGGGTGACGGGGTGGAAGCTGGGAGGAGGTGGTGGTTCCAAACAGGCACAGGCACTGCTGCTGTGTTTGTGACATGACCCCTCTTCCAGTCTCCTGTCTGCTTCCCGGCCTCTGTTCCCCTGCACTCCAGCCTCACAGATCTCTTTTTCTTTTAAATGTATTTTATTGATTTTTTACAGAGAGGAAGGGAGAGGGATATAGAGTTAGAAACATCGATGAGAGAGAAACACCTATTAGTTGCCTCCTGCACAACTCCCACTGGGGATGTGCCTGCAACCCAGATACATGCCCTTGACCGGAATCGAGCCCAGGGCCCCTCAGTCCGCAGGCCAACACTCTATCCACTGAGCCAAACCAGTTAGGGCTCTTTTTAAAAAACATATATATATATATATATATATATATATATATATATTATTGATTTTTTTACAGAGAGGAAGGGAGAGGGAGGGAGAGTTAGAATCATCTATGAGAGAGAATCATCGATCCGCCGCCTCCTGCACACCCCCCACTGGGGATGTGCTCACAACCAAGGTACATGCCCTTGACCGGAATCGGACCTGGGACCTTTCAGATCGCAGGCCGACGCTCTATCCACCGAGCCACACCGGCTAGGGCCAGCCTCATGGTTTTCTGAACAGATTCCCCGTCCATCTGCCACTGGCGGGTGTGGGCGTCCAGGGAGCCGACGGGCCTGTCAGGGGCCGCGCTGGCAGTTCGGCTTCCGGTGAAGGCAGAGCCGGCGGAGTGCCGGGGAGACCCTGCGTTCTGCCCGGGACAGGAACGGGTAAACAAACACCATCTATCCCCTCTCACTCCGGGCTTCATTGGGGGGACGAGGTTCTCTACCACAACAATACTGAATCACACCAGCGTCTAACCTTTACACAGACTGCATGCCTGTCCTGTAACTGTCCACGCATAACCCACCAACCTAACAGTTTTCTCTAGTTGAATCTCTGAGGCCTGTATTTAAATATAGGAATTACTATATTTAATCAGTGATTGTAATAGGGAGGTCTGAACCCACAGCTACTGTAAAGGTGAGATTCTAGGTGCTATTTTCTTTCCAGATTCACAGGGTTTTTTATTTTAACAAGGTTGGGACCAAACCTGAACCTCTTAAAGGATATTGTGTATCCTCATTCAGTCAGCATGGACCATGTAAAATGTCACCCATCTCATTAAACATTAAAAAAAAATACTTTTTTTTGGAAGTTGAAATCTCAGTAATATATTTCTGATTATTACAACTAGAACACATTAGTTATAACCTAACGCACTCAGCTTACTATCCAAATATTAACATGGTGGGGTCTCCAAGGAGCAAGAAATAATAGAAGGATTACTTGGCGGTAATAAAAGGAGGACAAAGCAGTTAAGTGAAGTTTGCTTGCGACTTACTATTAGGTACATCATGCCATTAAGTAAGAAAAATGGTCTCACTAGTATAAGTGTAAGGTCTTTTTGATGTCATAAAATCACACTTAGCAGATTTCCGCAAGGTCAAGGCTGTGGGCCTTACCTGCTCCTGAGAAAGTGCCGGGTGATGCCCAGGAAAGGGTTTGGGTGCCCCTTCTTGGGCTCCGAGCCCTTGACCTCCCTTTGTTTCCCAGTGAGCAGAGACCCAGGCATCCTTCGGGCTGTTGGAGGCTGAGACCTCAGGGTGGGGGGATAGAAACTTGGTTTTTAAACAGGAAGAGACCAGCCTCACTTGCTATTGTTGGCTAAGCATGATCGACAGAAGAGGTAAAAACAGTGAACAAGGCCCTGGCCGGTTTGGCTCTGTGGATAGAGCATCGGCCTGCCGACTGAAGGGTCCCAGGTTTGAGGGCATGCACCTAGGTTGTGGGCACATCCCCAGTTGTGGGTGTGCAGGAGGCAGCTAGCTGATGGATGTTTCTCTCTCTTATTGATGTTTCCGGCTCTCTATTCCTCTCCCTTTCTGTAAAAAATAAGTAAAATACATTTAATTAAAAACAAAGAACAGACGACACCGGTTTGGCTCAGTGGATAGAACATCGGCCTGCGGACTGAAAGGTCCCAGGTTAAATTCCGGGCAAGGGCATGTGTCTTGGTTGCGGGCACATTCCCAGTGGGGGGTGTGCAGGAGGCAGCTGGTCGATGATTCTCTCTCATCAATGATTCTCTCCCCTCCCCTCCCCTCCCCTCCCCTCCCCTCCCCTCCCCTCCCCTCCCCTCCCCTCCCCTCCCCTCCCCTCCCCTCTCCTCCCCTCCGCTCCCGCGCTCTCCCCCCGGTCCGGCGCGGGCGGCGGGGATGCTGCGGGCGGTGGCGGCGGCGGCGGCGGCGGGGGCCGGGGCGGCGCGCTGGTCTCGGGCCGGGACGCCGCCTCCGGCCGCGCTGGGAGCGGCCTGAGCAGGAGGCTGCGCGCCCGCCCGCCCGCGGCTCCCCGGCCCCCCGCGCCCCGGGCCCCGCGGCCCCGCTAGCCCCGCGGCCGGAGGCGGAGCGGGAGGAGGAGGAGCGCCGGGAGCACCGAGAGGACCGGGGGACCAGGAGCATCAGCAGGACCCGGGGACCAGGAGGACCGGGGGACCAGCAGGACCGGGGGACCAGGAGGACCAGGGGCACCGGGGAGGCGGCGGCCAGGCCTGCGGAGCGCGGGCGCCGGGGCCCCTCCCTCCCGCCGCCTTTGCCCAGCGGCTCATCCGTGCGTCCTCGGCCTCCGGGTCCTCGCGTCCCCTCTCCCCCGACCCCTCCCGGTCCGCCCTCCCCCCGCCCCGCGCCCCCGGCCTCCCATTCACCCGTCAGCCCCTCCATCCCTCTCTCCCTCCCTCCCTCTCTCCCTCCATCCATCCCTCTCTCCTCTCCCTCTCTCCCTCTCCCTCTCTCCCTCCCTCCCTCTCTCCTCTCCATCCATCCCTCTCTCCCTCCCTCCCTCCCTCCATCCTTCTCTCCCTCCATCCCTCTCTCCTTCCCCCTCTATCCTCCCATCCCTCCCGATCCTCCCTCTCCCCTCTCTCCCCCCATCCATCCCTCCCTCCCCCCCTCTCTCCTCTCCATCCCTCCCTCCCCCTCCCTCCCCAGAGGCCCCCGGACCCGGCCGGCGGCGCCCATGGAGGTTTAGGGCGGGAGCCGGCCGCGGCGGGAAGATGCGGGCGCTGCGGCGGCTGCGGGTGTCGCCCCGCTCGCTGCTGGCCTTCCTCTTCCTCTGCTCGCTGTCCTCCTCCGGCCTCTACTTCGTCTACGTGGCCCCGGGCCTCGGTGAGTGGCCGGCCCGGGGCGCCCGGCGGGCAGAGCAGCCCCCTCCCCTCCCGGGGAGCGCCCCGGGCCTCATTCCGGGGTCACTGCCCGGGTGCGGGGTTCGGGCCGGGCTCCAGGGTGTGGGGTTCTCTGGCCCCGGGTGTGGGGTTCGGGCCGGGCCCCGGGGTGTAGGGTTCTCGGGCCCCGGGTGTGGGGTTCGGGCCGGGCCCGGGGGGTGGGGTTCCCCGGCCCCGGGTGTGGGGTTCGGGCCGGGCCCCGGGGGTGGGGTTGGCGGAGGCGCGGGTGGAGGAGGGAAGGCCGCCCCCCCTGGGCGCCCCGCACCCTCGGGCATCCCCGGCAGCGGCACCCCTTACCCCCGCGGCACTGGGTGCAAGCAAACCCGGCTTCCTGGCAGCTTTATCCAGGCCTCAGGGGCTCCGGCGGAACCCAGAGGGGGACCCGGCAGGACCAGGGCTGGGCCGCCGTGCGCCCTGTGTCCGGTCCGGTGGGAACGGGGTGGCGCGGGCAGGTGCAGCAGGAGGGCGCTGCTTGTCATTGCCATTGGCAGGTGTCTGAGGGTCTGTGTCTGAGAGTCTGTGTCTGAGGGTCTGTGTCTGAGAGTCTGTGTCTGAGGGTCTGGTGTCTGAGGGTCTGTGTCTGAGGGTCTGTGTCTGAGGGTCTCTGTCTGAGGGTCTGTGTCTGAGGGTCTCTGTCTGAGGGTCTGTGTCTGAGGGTCTGGTGTCTGAGGGTCTGGTGTCTGAGGGTCTGTGTCTGAGGGTCTCTGTCTGAGGGTCTGTGTCTGAGGGTCTGCTGTCTGAGGGTCTCTGTCTGAGGGTCTGTGTCTGAGGGTCTGCTGTCTGAGGGTCTGCTGTCTGTCTGAGGGTCTATGTCTGAGGGTCTCTGTCTGAAGGTCTGGTTTCTGAGGGTCTGTGTCTGAGGGTCTGTGTCTGAGGGTCTGTGTCTGAGGGTCTTCTGTCTGAGGGTCTGTGTCTGAGGGTCTGTGTCTGAGGGTCTGGTGTCTGAGGGTCTGCTGTCTGAGGGTCTGGTGTCTGAGGGTCTGTGTCTGAGGGTCTGCTGTCTGAGGGTCTGCTGTCAGGGCTGGGACAGCCTCTCCGCCTGGGGGTGCCATCCAGGGGAAATAACACTCCAACCAGCAATCAGGGCCCGTCGCTGGCGGTTTAACCTACTTCCCGCTCCCGGCCTTGGGGCTGACCTGCACTTGGGTGCCATCTGCAGAGCTGGCTTCTGGGGACACGCACAGCCAGCTCCCCGGCCCCTGCGATGGGGAAGGGGCCACAGCCAGCTCCTCGGTCCCTGCGGTGGGGAAGGGTCTTGGGTGGCATTCTGATGGGTGAGAAGGAGCAGTGCCAGGTGGGCATCAGGATGCACTGTGTTTCCAGAGCGTTTCCGAGTTTCCTGCGGTGGCCAGTGTCCCTTCTCCCTCGGAGGCACCTGCAGACCTCTGGGGCGGAGGGCCACAGGGCCGTGTCTTGTGTGGTTATAGGCATAGGCCAGTGGTCGGCAAACTCATTAGCCAACAGAGCCAAATACCAACAGCACAACGATTGAAATTTCTTTGGAGAGCCACATTTTTTAAAGTTAATGCCACTTCTTCAACGTAGACTCGCCCAGGCCGTGGTATTTTGTGGAAGAGCCAAAGAGCTGCATGTGGCTCTCGAGCCGCAGTTTGCCGACCACAGGTAACATGGAATAAAGAAAGGCACCGCTGTAAGGGGCTGCCTTGGCGTTCCGGAGATTGAATTGGGGTGCCTTAGGATCCCCAGGAAGAACGTGGCAGTAGGCGGAGGGAAATAAGGGCTGAGAGCTCAGGACAGAGGTTCGGGTGCCTTCGGCGTAAAGAGGAATGGTGCCTGTCCATCGCTCACCTCTCACACCTGGGTCATGAAAGCAACACCTGCAGGCAGAGGGACTGCCTGCGCTAGTGACTCTCACCTGTGGGATTTAGGGGCTCCGCTGGAATTTGAAGAAGGCCCACGTGCAGTTTGAAAAGTTTCCCATGAGGCTCTGCCACCCTTTTTACTTTCCAGGCCCACGTGGGAGTCAGTGGGGCTGACACCCGGGACAGTATGGGTGTCTGGCCGCACATCCCCACCCCATGCTGATAGGAGAGCCGTGTTGTGAAGAAAGAGAAGGAAAGACAGGCATTTGATGAAATTCACCCATTTAAGATAAAGCCTCTCCACACAGTGGGTATAGACTGAGCATGCCTCACCGTATACAGGCCATCTAAGACAGCTGACAGCTGACATCAGACTCAGAATTGCAAAGCTGGGAGCTTTTCTTTCCACCAGGCCAGGACAGGGACTGTATTCAGTGTAGTATTGGAAGCCATGGCCAGAGCAATTAGGACAAAGAAATAAATAAAAGCATCTCAACTGGAAAGGAAAATGTGAAATTGTCACCATTTGTGGATGGTGCGGTTATATATGCAGAAAATCATAAAGACTCTATCAAAACACTGCTACCCTGTTTCCCCGAAAATAAGACAGTGTCTTATATTAATTTTTTCTCCCAAAGTTGTGCTAGGTCTTATTTTCAGTTGATGTCTTATTTTCGGGGAAACACGGTAGAATTCATAAACAAATCCAGTCAAGTTGCAGGGTGCAAAATCAATATGCAAGAATTGTTGCATTTTTATACTAACTAGAGGCCCAGTGCACAAAATCTGTGCATGGGTAGTGTCCCTAGTGTCTGCTGGCTGCCAGCTGGGGCCTCCCTTCCCCAGGCTGGCCACCTGCTGCCGCTGCCAGCCTGGGCCAGCCAGCGGGGGAAGGGCCATGGGTGGTTGGCCAGCTGGCTCTTCCCCCTGGTCGAACCCTCAACAAGGGGAAAATTTGCATATTAAGCTTTTATTATATAGGATAATTATCAGAAGGAGAAATTAAGAAAACTATTCACAGTTACATCAAAAAGAATAAAATACATAGGACTAAATTTAACCAAGGAGATGAAACTTCTGTATACTGAAAACTATAAGACATTGATGAAAGAAATTGAAACACCACTGCTGGAAGCCAATTCCAACATGTCATAATTGCAAGTTTCATCAAAAGGTTGATGGAACTTGGGGACTCAACAAGGGCTGAGAAACGTATGTTATCATCTGTTGGGAATGGCTAAAGGCATTTCCCCAAACCTGAAAAAGATGATTGCTTGCTGCCAGACAGTTCAGGGCATCTCAATCTACACGTTATTGTCTCCTCCTGGCCAAACACCTCAATAGCCAGAGGTAATTCCCCAATCTGACGATGCTTGTGTATACAAACCCTACCCTTTGATGTGTATATGTCCACCTTGCCTTAGGACAAATTGTGTTAATAAAAAGCAAGGGGTCCTGAGACAAGGAGAACTTAGTTCCTTTAGCTAAGTCTTCTCTGACTCCCTGTAATGCCTTCCAAAATTATGTTTTGTCTCTGGACTCTTGATTAATTTATACACAGCCCTTCTCCAGATTGCTAAACTCTACTAGATGCTGGATCAAGACCACTGGCATTAGGACACAAATAAATAAAAAGATATTTTGTGTGCATGCAGGAAGAATTAATAAGATGTCATTACCCAATCTACAAATTCAGTGAAATCCCTATCAAAATTCTAACAGCATTGTTTGTAGAAATAAAACAGTCCTAGAAGTTTTGGACCCCAACCAGTCAAAGCAATCTTGAGAAAGAAGAGCAAAGCTGTAGGCATCACGCTCCTGGATTTCAAACTCGGTTACAAAGCTATTGTGATCGAAGCAGCACGGTATTGGCACAGAAACAGGCACATGGATCAGTGGTCTAGAGAGCCCAGAAATAAACCCAAGCAGATGTGACCAGTTAACCTCTGACAAAGGAGGCAAGAATATTCAACAGGGGAAGGCTAGTCTCTAACACGTGGTGTTGGGGAAACTGGACAGTCCCTTGTAAAGCAGGAAACTGAGTCTCTATCTTATACCTCACACACAAATGAACTCCAAATGGATTGCTTGAATGTAAGACCTGAAACCTTGAAAGTTTTAGAAGAAAACACAGGCAGGAAGCTCCTTAGCTGTGTTTTTATGCGACTGATTTCAAAGGCAGGAGCGACAAAAGCAAAAATAAATGGAATTGCGGCAAACTCAAAAGCTTCTGCATAGCAAAGGTAACCCATCCGCAAAAGGCAGGCTACTGAATGGGAGGAGGAATTTGCAAATCGTGTATCTGATAAGGGGTTAACATCTAAAATATATAAATAATGTCTACAACTTGATAACAACAAAATTTGATATAAAAAAATGGGCAGAGCACTAGAGACATTTTTGCAAAGAAGGCGCATAGGGCCAACAAGTACGTGAAAAGGTGCTCCGTGTCACTAGTCATCAGGGGAAGGTAAATCAAAACGACAGTGAGGTGTCACCTCACACCCGACAGAACGGCACTTGTCAAAAGGAAGAGAGAGCAGGTGTTTGTGAGTTTGTGAAGAGAAAGGAACCCTTGTGCATGGTTGGTTGGAGTGCAGCCACCATGAAAGACAGCATGGAGTTTCCTCAAAAAATTAAAAATAGAACTTTCATATGACTCAGCAGTTCTATTTCTGGGTATCGATTCAAAGAAAACGAAAAACCTAATTCATAAAGTATAGGAACGCGATGTTCATTGCAGCATTGTGTATGATAGCCAAGATATGAGAACAACCTAAATGCCCCTCGGTAGAGGAACAGTTAAAGAAGATGTGGTGCATGTATACCATGGGATACTACTCAGCCATAGGAAAGAACGACGGGTTACCATTTGCGGCAACATGGATGGCTCTTGAGGCTATTGTGCTAAGTGAAATAGGTCAGGCAGAGAAAGACAGATGTCGTATGATTTCATTTATATGTGAAATCTAAGGGGGAGAGGGGAAAGAAGAAAACAAAACCATCTCACAGACCCAGAGAACAGATGGGTGGTTGCCAGAGGCAGGAGAAGGTTTGGGGGGGGGTAAATGAGGTGGGTGAAGGGGATCAAGGTACAAACTTGCAGTTATACAATGTCATG